GTTGTATAATTTCTTTCAGCTACTACCAATTGACGACTTCCATAATAAATAGGGTGATCAAAACCCCGGTCATCTTTTTGGCTTAGCACAGAACCAATCGCGACATTAGATGCATCCACATAAACTTGGAATGGTTTTGTCCAACAAGGTGCCACCAATATTGGTGCTGAAACTAATTTCTGTTTCAATGTTTCGAATATAATTATACATTCGTTTGTCCAAACTGGATTGGTTCCATTGGTTGGTGGTTTCTTCAAGAGATTTTTCAAGGAAAGGCAAATAACTGTGAATAGATAGATAAATTGCCGATAATAACTAACATGGTCGACAAATGCTCAAACACTCGTAACAATATCTGGTTGCTTTAATTCTACTACAATCTTTATTTTATCTGGATCTGTAGTAATGCCTGCCATCAAAACTATATAATCCAATAGTTTATCAGAATGCACACCAAATTGGTACTTTTTTGAATTTAAAGAAATTCCATATTTGGCACATTGATTCAAACATTGACCGAGACATTCTAAATGCCTGACTCTCGTACTAAATGTACAAAAAATATCTAGAAATATTTCCATTGAAATTTGTAGATAATCTTGGAACACTTGCGTCATTATCCTTTGAAATGTAGCTCGTGCATTACAAAGTCCAAACAGCATAATCTTATAGGCAAAGGTCCCCCAATCTGTAGTTAAAGTAGTTTTTAACTGGTCTTCTTTTGCAATTTTATCTTGATTATAACCGGAGAATCCATCAAGAAATGAATAACATTCATGTCTAGCGACAGCATCCAATATACTATCCGTGAATGATAAAGGAAAATAATCCTTCTTGGTAGTCGCATTAAGTTTTCGGAAATCGTGACAAATTTGGATTTTTTTGTTCTTTTTCGGCACCATAACAATTGGTGAAACCCATTCACTGAAAAGAACTGGATAGATAAATCCAACCTCCAAAAGTTTATCCAACTCTTCTTTTACCATAAGTGAGTATTTTGGATTAAGTCGATGTTGTCTTTGGTGTACAGGTGTAGCGTTCTCCTCCAATATAATTCGATGCTCTTAAACTTTAGGTGGAATTCCTTTCAAATCTGCATACGACCATACAAAAGTAGTTTTATGCATTAAAAAGTAATCCACCCAAATTTCTTTCTCCTTGCCTTTTATACCATCGTAAATCTGAATGATTTGGGGAGCCTCTCCTATACCTAAATTAATTGGTTGACATCGTGGAATTTTAGGAGTCTCCGGAATAATGTTCTACTCAATTCCAGAATCTTTTATAAAATTTGACACATTAGAACTTTCCAACTCCAGTTCCATAGTACTAACGTGATTAATATCTTGTCTATTCATCCAATATGCAATCATATGATCAGAATCATCAATAATATCTGGAGGAACTAAGTACTCTCCCGGTCCCCTACACTGGTATTTCATTCTAGTGTGCTTGACTACTTCCCTTGTATCAGCATAAATTGGATCAGATGCACCAATTTCTCCTTTTGTAGACTCAACTTCACAATCCGACGTGAATTCTGAACTGGCAACTTGAGTTTCTCCGTGATATTAGACAAAGTACATTTGAAGTACAATTTTATCATTACCTTTCTCAATTGTCAATGTACCATAGCCCCAGTCATTTTGAGCTTTAGCTTGATACAACCACGGTTGCTCCAATAAAATTGGGTATGACAATATAGAGCTTCGCAATCAAAAAACAATATAATCAATTTTGTAGGTAATCCCTGCAATTACTGTATCAATACTTTGATTATTGTATCAATTACTATATCAATACTTGCAATTACTGTTTCAATTATTATATCAATACTCCGATTAAGTTGAAAGTATACAAAGCAACATTCGTTAAGTCTAACTTGTAATAATTAATTTAATAAAAATAAATCAATTTATGTAATTCTTGATGAATTTGCTAATAAACCACACAAGTTGAAACTTCCCATTCTAGATCTTCATTTGTTTTTATTTTTATTTCGTTCTGGATTTATTTTTTCAATCTCAATCCAAAGCACTAAATACTTCAAACCCACAATACTGACCTTTTGCTTTTGTAACCATAATCCTTCTTTCAACTCTTTGAAAGAAGCAACAATACAGAATAGAAAATCATAACTTCCACTAGTCTTTGAAGTTCACTCAAAGAAGGATATAGAATATAATCCTATGTGATAATTTTTTAGATGAAATTTACAATACACTACCACATTCATACAACCTCGATAACACAACAGAAGGCACTTCAACTGCTAGACAATGGAACGTGATAGTAGCATAAAAAAAGGGGGAGGACTGTGAACGAGTTTTTGAAACACCAAATGCAGGAACAAGCTGTGCAAGTTTTCGATATCAGCAGCTGGGTCTAAATCTAAAGAGCTAGACGTGATAGCAAAAGCATCCCCACATTAACTCCACCGACAACTGAGAGGAAGAACATAGCCTAATCTACAAGAATATAACGTCAAATGGGTCAGAAATGCATGGAAGGGCTTGTAAGGATGCGACTGTTGGGCGTTAACCGTTTCATGTGGTGCCGCTTGAACCTGGACTTGTACTAATCTTCTTCAAACGTTGCAAAGATTAGCATGTAGAAAAGTTGATCCTCTCTGGGCTCTCAAGATGCCGATATCAGTCACCACGCTTCACCCCCACATGGTGTCCAGTTTGTTCTCGGCCGCCATCGTTGTGCTGGTTGCACTCGACAAGTATTGCCTCCCAGAAGCTTTTTATGCATCGTTGGAAAACGTTCCCTCACTACTCTTCAGCCAAGTGAAATCTAACGGTACTCGGTAACGTTTGTATGAAATCACTGACATAAGGATAAATTGGCTGCAGACAACATACTGAGAGGTGGAATCCCTGGTCTTCAGTTCATCCCTGCGTCTGCAAGCAAGTATTACATGTTTTAAGTCAATAATTCAGTACCCTAACCTCTTGCGATTTGCTTTGGTATAATTAGGATGTTCTGCAATAGACTGAACGTAGGAAAAAATACAGCCTATTAGTTCATGCTAGATTCTTTGGAACCCCACATAAAGCTTCTTAGAATTTCGACAAAGAGAAGAACTGTTCGGTGTTTACATCCCGCACCATCAATGCCACCACGGCATGACAGTAATCAAGGCTAGTTGGGAGGGACTCATAAACTACAATAATAAAACCTGAAATTGCACTAATTTTGAGGTATTTCACATCCTCTGAAATCCCTAGGTATCTTAACTAGTGACTCGTCTCTTAGTATTGGTGCAAGTGAGAAAAACCTGGCATTACTCATGTCAACTACCATGACTGTGCACTGTGGACCCCTGTTTTCGAATTGGCCGGTGATACATGCACGATATCGTGCAATTGACACGTGAAGTGCAATAACACATAAAGTCTACAGTCGGTTTTAGATGCTGTGCTTGTGCATAATCCAAATTTGGTGGCAAACTGTGAACCATGTTGGTCCTAGAAGTCCAACTGCCCGAGCAGGACGGGATGAAAAAGATTGAATGGAACAAGGAGGCACCAAGATTCTATGAGTTAAAGAACAGAGTGAGAGAGTTTGGCATTCCACATGCTTGGTGCGTGGAGGTCATGCGCGGCAATAACTTCGTTTCCCCTGATGACAACGCTGAGATTCCTGGAGACCGAATTACCCTGCGAGCAGCACCAATACTCGGTAATCATTTGCTATTTGCATATCAAATCCAACACATTAATCTTAAATGTTTTAACAAGACGAATATATCTTAAATTATTTCTGTTGAGAGATTTAACGAAATCAACAGCCTAATTAGCATGTTGCCAACTGATGAAGAAGAAAATGTCGTTTAACGAAAAGAAATTAAGAAACTTTAAGCGTATTAAATCATTCGATTAGTAAAAGCGATAAGACGTTTACCTTGCAGACGATACGTTACTTGAAGAACAACCGGAAGATCCGCAATATTCAAAGTGGTTGAGGCAGTCATTTGAAAAAGTGACCGGCCATGTAGGACGGGTGTATTTGCACAACACCTCAAATCCCAACGAAGCGGCATCTTCTACTGCAGCAGAAAGCTGTGTGGGTACCGTGGGTTTGATGGACGATCAGGGTGCTTCTATTTGTGCTCTGCATACAATTTACGATTCTGTCGAGGATCCCTCACGCTACAAAATTCATGTCGTCTACCCTAACTATCATCAAGGTCGATTGGCATTTGAAGCAAAGGTGAAAAGTATGGATAAAGATGCAGATATATGTGTGTTAGAGCCTGTTAAACCGTTAAAAAAACCATGGACGCCATTATCGCATCTAGAACTTGCCACAGATGCGAGAGAAGGTGATTATATTTACTGTTTCTTCTATCCTAAAGATCCATCAAAACACTGCACTCAAAAGTTATTTGAGAAAATAATCAAACCAGGGAAGCCAGCAAGAATTTGGAGAGCCCCTGCATCTGCGTCTACAGTTGCAGACCACCCAACTATCATTTCTGGCAACGTCTGCTTATCTGAATGGATGCAAGGGGTGGCCACTTACAGTAACCTCCCAGACCCGAATGGAGCCCTCCTCGTGTCCCGCAGTGGCCGAGTGAAAGGCATCCACGTCAAAACCTTCACATGTGGAGAGTTTCAGAACTTCGTTCAATCCGAAAATCCTGACGAAGTGAGAATTGCAAAAAAACTATGCAAGATAATGAGCGTGTACTCACCATCAGAGACCCTTCCAGTATTTGTTCCGCCTCATGGCTTGGTGAGGATGCTTCAGCTCCAAGGTGGCTCTGAGCTGCTTCAAGCTGCTCTTTTGCAAAACAAGGTGAATACGAAGATAGAGAAGGTGGATTCAAATACGAGGGCAAAGAACAAGAGAAGATCTCCCCTCACATTAAAGAGAAAACCAATCGATAAAAAGATAAGAAGATAATTGGCCTTACATTCCGTACTCGTTCATTTGAACCAGAGACGACGGTGGGCGGCCAATAGACTATGTACAGTGGAGATGCTCAGAAGTAGACAAGAGTTGTGCTCAACATCGGTATATTAAAGTGAGTTCATGTTTCCATAAAAATTGGTTGCCCTACAGAAAACACTGGCTGGAAAATATGCTACGCACATTGAACACTCCATTTACAAGGAAAATTGCGCCTAATTTTCGTCGATGCAGCGGCATGAAGGAATAGACTTAGTACATTGGAGGTGTTGGAACACACTACACCCTAAGCTTGCTAAAATTCTGCAGATTCAAGCTAGAAAAACACCATGAGGGCCATGAAGGAAAATCAAAAAGTCCCGGGAGATTATTAGTTGAGAAGATCATAATCGTCGAGGCGGTCGTTGTACTGCAAAACCTTCCGCTTGATTTTAGAGGAATCAACCCAGGTAACGAAGTCTTCCATATTCCGAGTCACCAAGAAAGCAGGTTCAGTGATGGTGTCGGGACCGACACGTATATGACCTTGCTCCACGAACGTCACTGCTTCTCGCATATTCTCCGCCATGTTGAGCCGTAGCATAACGACGGCGAGACGACGCCGGCAAATTGTCGACACCGTCAGCTTATTGCAGAGCGCCAAACTCTTCTTAGACGGTATCACGCCCATACTATACAACTTCTCCAGAAGAGCTTCCGTCATCTCAATCCGGGTAGGGTCCTGCGGATTCATCTTCTTCAGCATGGTCACCAGCTTCGTCACCATACCGCAAATCTTGTTGTATTCCTGATAATCTTCGCGCCCGGTAATGTGATAACGTCGCATCACACGCAGCTCGTGCTCCCCTCTCTCTTTCTTCCATTCCAAAAAATTCACCTTCTTCAGCAGCTTCTGTTCATGATACTTCAACTTCCTCATCTTGCCTCGCTCGTCCTCCCTTCACGCGAATTAAACCTTTTCCTCAGCAACGTTAACTCTCACAGTTGGTTCCAATTCCGCACGCAAATCTCCACGGGACACACAACCTTTCAGTGAATTTCTTCCACCACACAGTTGCCTAACTGTTGAAACCCTAAAAGCCTAAATCCTTCTTCGTTTCTTCTACCGATGGGATTCAACCGCCAAGTCTGCCACTGTCGCGCGTCTGCGTCAAGGTGCGAAAAAGCAAAAGGACGAGCTTAAAGTTAACTTTTTAGTGAAGGTCACCGAGGTTTTGTTGCGGCTGGATGCTTAAGGGTTTAGGGTTTTAACTGCTCTAGAACGATAGACCGATTGTCGGACTCTTCGGCATATTTGTGTCGCCGGACTGAGTGAATTGAAGGTTGGCAAGTATCGAATTCGAAGAGCATGCGATTTCCAATGCTGGAGTAGATCCATTAGTATCGCGTAAATCGTCGCTAGCAGCGTCTTGTCTCTGCTGTCGCAATGAAGAAGAAGAAGGTGCAAGCGATTCCCTGGCTGGTTTCACTGCTGCTTGTAGATTTGTTTGTTGGGAAGTAAGAAATATTGTTGTAAGAACCTTCTGGGCTTGATATCAGGGGTTAACAATGGTTGAACTTGTGAAGATGAGAAGAGTAGCGCGGCAGCAACTGAGCCTCGCAGTCGTTGAGGGATCATGTCTTGTTTTGTGAATGTTTCCAGCTATTGAAGGCCTAGTTTTGGAATTGGAGACGACACGCCTTGTCTACGTTCTGGATTCCTTTTCAGGATTTTAATTTTGCCTTCTGTTAGTGAATGAGCTGCACATGGCTTGACAGGGTGCAATTAAGCATTGAATCTCGTGATCATTTATTGATTTGCGCTTGAAACATTGTAATGTTCTTCAATTTCCGTACACGATGAATTAGTGACTTAGGTTTTGTTCTTCTGAACTTTTCTGCTCTTATTGTTAGCTGCAGCACGTGATTGCTAACATTTCTTGGTTCTCATGTACACAGTGACTATGGCATCTATCATGCCTTTGTGCTGAAACTACTTTTTTGTTTTCGGCTAAATTCCTCTATGACAACAGATCAATTTTAGACTCGCAGCAAACTTGGATCGATCACTTGTTTATACCTGTTAGTCATCGCCTCTGAAGATCAAAGAGACGGAGCTGCAGAGCAGCGTGCCGCAATTCTACTTATTTATTTGTGTGTTTTTTCTTTGTCTTAGTATATCGTTCTTATGGACTAACTTGCTCTTTTATCTTCTGTGCAGGTACCTGTCGGTAAGCATAAGCAGGGCGGTGGGAAGTCAGGGAGATGGAAGCAAGGGGGTCCGAAGACACAAGGCGGACATTCGGAGAATGTGTTCGAAACGCTTTGGACCAGGCGGAAGTTTGATGTCTTGGGAAAGAAGCAGAAAGGGGGAGATGCCAAGCGCGTCGGACTAGCTCGCTCTGCAGCGGTAGAAAAGGTGCGAGCATGTTGACCCAGTATTGTGAATTACACATCTACTGTGAGGTTGGTCCGTTGTTCTCATGAACAGCTATAAGTGAAAGAATGTAGATGCAACATCGAAATTGGGTGAGAGCTTTCTGTGTTGTTGGGCTGGGCAATGAGCTGGTTGTTTTTATGGTAGGTCAAAGGTCTTGCCGTCCGTATCAGATGGACATTACAGTTGAGTTTGTTGTTTTTCCAATTCCACTTTTGGTAACATTGTCTGTAGTTTACCTACGTATTTAAACTTGTTACGCAAATCACTTGCATGTACAGTGACAGTTGAGGAAGCTGCTTCGCTTTTTAGTAGTCAACCAGAAACGCTGAGATTAGTCAATATGTGGCCAACAGGGAAGACAAGATTCTGGTGTTTTCCTATCATAATAACGATGCTGATTCTTTATTCACTTTTGCAGAGGAAAAAGTCTTTGTTACCTGAGTACAAGCAGCGGGGGAAGACGAATGCTTTCTTAGATTCTCGTTTTGGGGAGCACGATGAGAGTTTGGGCGATGAGGACAAAGCAATTCTTCGATTCCAAAAGGAGCGCATGGTAACTACTTCCGTCCATCTCATGAGTATGCCCAAGCAGTGTGCTTTTTGATCCATTACTGACGTCCACCACCCTATGTGCACTCGGTTCTTAACGAAGTATTGGATGGGCATCATCTGCTGACATGTTTGCGTTGCACCAAGATTTTGGATTTTAACTTTTCATGTCCCTGATACGTTCATGTTAACAGACTTCTGATGGTACTGCAGGTTCAAATGCAAAAAAAGAAGAAGTTCGCTCTCGAAGATGATGATGATGAACAACCAACAGAATTACTTACCCATGGCGGAAATGCACTTTCAACATTCGATGACTTCAAGGATGACATCTCTATTGAGAGTGATGGGGATGATGATGGATGTATGTTTTTCATTCTCCATGTTATGCTTTGCCATTTTGTATTAATACTGTTTTTTTTACTAGCTCTTTTGTATTTTCATCAAAAAATGACACAGCTTCCAAGGGATTGTGACATAGGAGCGGGCCGTGTATACGTTGTGGGCTTGCAGTGAACGAGGAGATAGTGAGGGACCTGCATTTTGGTGGTGGGTTTGTTGGGAAGGATGCCGGAGAGGAGGATGGAGAGGGAAAGGTGAGTTTACTGTGTTGCATATTTCGACTTTTTGAATGTTCTGTTTCCTTGCAGTTGTAGCTCGTTGGCTCTAGGAATGCTAGCTGAAGATTTTCAAAATAGCGGTGCTGTGTTTATATTCACTTGTAAATTCGCTGATCGACGACAAATGCCTCTCACTTTTACAGAAAGACAATGTACATAGTTACTAAGATAAAGTGGGATGTTGGATGCAGAAGCGTACTAAGAAAGAAATTATGGAAGAAGTTATTGCTAAGAGCAAGTTTTTCAAGGTAAGTTTCCGAGGTCAAATCAATCATGCAGCAGAGTGCATTTTATATTAAATGTAAAATTCTTGTACAAAAAGGAACTCATTGTCATTGGTTCTGCAGGCTCAAAAGGCGAAGGAGAAGGAAGAAGATCACGAACTTAAGGAGAAGCTAGACGCTGATTTTACTGCACTGGCTCAGTCGAGTGGTTTGTTGTCCCTTGTGCGTCCCAAGAAAGTAGATGCTTTGAAGTCCATGCTTTCAAAAGGAGCTTCGGGAAGTGGCAGTGCGTTGAAAGCACTGATAGCTGGCGATCAAACACTGGAAGTGAAGGTATAGTTTTTTTTACATCTTACGGGTTCTCCCAATTAAAAATCTTATAATTTTATAATGCCAGCGTTATGCAGACAAGTGACACACCTGGAACAATATATTTAGACTTTCTTGATTTTGATGTCAGGGAATTCTGCTGTAACTCTGTTGAATTGTTTGTCTGTATCATGATGTAAAACTGAGACATCCCTCCTGAATGCCACAGGAAAAACCTGATGAGTATGATAAGCTGGTGAAAGAGATGGGTTTTGAGATTAGGGGACATGCCTCAGATCGGTCAAAAACTGCAGAAGAATTAGCTAAAGAGGAGCGCGAGCGTTTGGAAGACCTTGAGGTGATCAGTCTGTTTTACCATTCATTTAAAATTTATATTTTTATTGTTATGGTTATGTATTTTTTGAACAGAAATCACCATGCAATGTTTGTTCGTTGTTATAAAGCCGGGTGTGGAATGAGTAGAACGAAAAACTATCGAGGTTTCTTTCTTGCTCAATAAACTAGTCAATTTTTTTATACAGAGGAAACGCAAGCAGCGGATGCTTGGTGGAGCAGAATCAGAATCTGATGAAGCCGAAAGTGATCAAGATGAGGAGGAATCTCGGCGGCAGCAGAAGAAGAAGAGGAGAGAAATTTCTGGTGATGATCTTGGTGAGAACTTTGTGATGGAGGACGAATACCAGGAGAATGGTTGGGTTGATGAAGTATTAGCAAGAAAAGGCGATAGTGATGAAGATGAAGATGAAGATGAAGATGAAGACGAAGACGAAGAAGATGATGACGATGGTTCTAGTGCCAGATCGGAGGAAGATGCTGACTCAGAAGGTTCTGATGATGAGGATGAGAGTGAAGGATCTGAGGATGAAGATTGGGAAAATAGTGAGGATGAATTAGCAGGCATTGAAGGCATACCTAAGTTGTCCGCGAAAGATCAAAATTTGTTGGATAAACTTATTGCAGCTAAAAGTGGTCCTAAGCCAGAAGAACAAGTCAAAAATCTCTTAGAAAAAGAACTGAAAATACCCCTAAGAGCTGAGAAAGCTAAGAAAGCGAAGAAACCAGTTTCAGGTGGAAACGAGCTAGATAGTGCTCTTCCTTATGTGATTGATGCGCCACAAACTTTGGTCGACTTCCGTCAATTAGTTGATAGTAGGTCTATTAAAGACTTAGAAGTTGCAGTGGAAAGGATACGGAAGTGCAATGCTATTAGTTTGGCTGCCGAGAATCGAAAGAAGATGCAGGTGTGTTTCCTCCCCTTTCTTGTCTATTCCCACGCGAGTCCCGCTTTGTTTCAGATGTCGTATTGAACAGTCCCGCTTTGTTTATGCCGCTTTGTGTGTGCTCGTGTGCCTTAGAATTAGTGATTCGAAAATAGTGCCCTTCACATAATTTGAGTGACAAATATTCCTTCTGTTTGTTCGAACGTGTCATTACTTGTGAGATAATATTATGATTTTCCTCTGGGTAAAAAAGTAGAAGTCCACGTGATCTATTCACGGCAAGGTAATCAACTAGAAGGAAATCACTGACGAACTCTCGATCTTAGTAAAACAGAATAATTGATGACCTTGCGTTGGTGTGTCTGCAGGTCTTCTACAATGTGTTGCTTCAGTACTTCGCCACTATTGCAGGCGAACGTCCTTTAAATTTACAAAGAGTTAACGCATTGGTGAAACCATTGATAGAACTAAGCGGAGAGACACATTATTATGCTGCTGTGTGTGCCCGTGAGCGTATTATACGCATGCAGAAACAGCTATCTGAGAAGCTGCACAGTCAAGGTAAACCACGAGTTTTACAACTTTTCGTATAACCTGTGTTTTGCATTGCAGCCTACTTGAAGCAGTGGTACAAAGTACATCTTTCAATTTTGCATAGAATCATGTTTTGAAGAATGTGTTAGGTGTACATCGTGATGTGATCAATAGCATCTAAGTTTTCTCTACGATGGCAGAACTGTTGTTGAATACTGGGATGGCTCCTCTAGCTAATACTAAACCAAATTTTAATTGATGCAATCCAGTATATTACTAATCAATTTCAACGCCTTGGTTGTGACAGATGATATCAGTTCCTGGCCTTCAAACCGAACCTTGCTACTCTTCAGGCTTTGGTCGATGATCTTTCCTCCCTCCGATTTTCGTCATGCTGTCATGACTCCAGCAATGCTCCTCATGTCCGAGTACTTGCTGCGTTGTCCTGTTAAATCTGGTCATGATGTTGCAGTTGGCACCTTCATTTGCTCACTTCTTCTTTCGGTTAGTACATCTCTTTTCTACGGTACCATGAATTTTCTATTTTTGTTTTACGAACTGTTGTTAGTCTCATTGTATCTTTGTGATTGATTTGCGTCACCTAAACGCTTGAACTCCATGTACAGGTTATGAGGCCAGCACGGAGGTTCTGTCCAGAGGCTCTCAGCTTTCTGCAAGCTCTCCTTCTTTCTGCCTTGCCCAAAATGAATCGATCCAAAAATTTGTCTCTTGTAAGGCTTCTGCTTATCACAGATTTGCCACCAAACCTGTCTGTTCTAGTGCTATCTTATTAGTGCAATTTAGTATCTGTAACGGCGTGTTGATAAAAACAGGAGCTCAACGATACTGGAGTTGTTACTAGGTGTGAACCTCTCATCTTGTAATTACTTATCTTGTGACCGTATTCATCAATAACTTAATGTTCAATGCTAATATGAGTCTCTGTTATGACAGCACTGTCCTTCCCACTTGGTGGAGTTTGTAGCTTCCAAACAGTGGTTGCAGCTTTCAAGCGCAACGTCTACAGTCGAGGGTGTGCAACCTTTAGACTTTACAAGCTTGCTTACGGCAGATAGTTCTTCTTCGACCTTTGAATCTGATTCATTCAAGTATGGTTTTGTTTTGGCTCACTTTTGTAGCTTGGTATTTGAGTTTCTGTTTTTAGGTGAATTCTTTTAGTGTACAAGTACTAGGTCTTCGAGCTATCGTTTACCCTGGGTGCGTTTTTTGATTGGCTATGCAGAGTGGGGATTTTGTACAGTGTGATTAAGACCGTTAGTGGATTTGTGGAAGTCTATTCCAACATCGCGTCCTTCCCAGAGGTTTTCTCGCCTTTCGCATCTTTATTAGACGCATTGAAAAATAACAATGCACTTCCAGAAGCCTTGATGGTTTTGACCACCGAAGTAAGCCAATTCATAGCAGAGAAGGTGAAAGAGCATGAGACTACCCGGCTTCCTTTGCTTATGAGGATGAGTAAGCCAGTCCCTATCAAAACATACAATCCTCAATTTGAAGAAAAGTAAGTGCTCTGTACCTCTTTCTTTTGTTTCGATCGAATTTGCAGCTTTAATTTATCTGGTTAGTTGCGAACAACTTTCTTTCTGGTAGGTATCAACAGTTTCTTGTGATGATCCCTTTCATTAACATCTGTTTTGTGTCGCCTCTTCATGGTTTGTTTATGAAGAACCCTGCTAATGGAATGTAATCCGCCTTCGCGTTTTGCAGCTATGTCAAAGGTAGAGACTACGATCCAGACCGGGAGAGAGCTGAAACTAAGAAGCTTAAAAAGCAGCTCAAACGGGAAGCAAAAGGTGCTGCACGAGAGCTCAGGAAAGATAACTGGTTCTTGGCTGAGGAAAAAGCGAAGGAAAATGCAGTATTGCAACAAGAAAGGGAAGAGAAGTATAACAAAGCCATGTCCTTCTTGCAACAACAAGAATCTGCTTTTAAATCAGGGCAACTTGGGAAAGGAAGCAGCAAGAGAAAGAAGAGGTAGTGTTGTTGTAGGTTTATGTGACAGGCTGAGATTTCGTACTTCTGCGCTGATTATTGAAGGTGCAGATAATAGTAGATGGTTTATTTTAAAAATTATTCCACAATCTTGCTCATGAGCCAAACAATGTCAGAAATCCCCTTTTGAAGTCTCCGATTTTACCATGGATAGCACCTTGCTCAGTCTAAATCTGCCTGTTAGATCAAACCTTGTATTATTGGCTCTGATTAAATGTTACTAGGAGGGAGCTCGCACAACTATCTGTTTCAAGCTACATTTATTGATGGGAATAGGTACAGCTCAACTTGGAACTTTTAACACATTTATCAAGAGTATAAGATGTGTCTAACTTGAAATAATATTTATTACCTCAAATTCAAAAAAGAAAATAGGAAAATAAGAAACATGGTCAAGTCGTAAAGAATACCTCCAGATATCGAATAATTTGCAGGATCTTTTGAAGAAGGTTTTTGAACACTTGCCCAGATCCAATTTATATTCTGAATCAAACTCACAACTACTATGGAAGTAGTTCCATACTCCTTATTGAACATTCATCATCTATTAATTTAGAATACCTTATTGCTTATTGCTGGGGATGCTGTAAACCTGAGCGCCACTGTCGCGAACTTTGTGTTCAGATTCTATGTAGCTGGTATCTGATCGATCTTTCTTTTATCTTTCTCAAAATTCTTTTTCCAAATATACGGATGATATTTGGAGGTTCTAGTCTGGTTTGAGTTATACAGGAGAAGTCACCAATGTGGGCTTGTTGCCTCTGTAGCAGAAATGCAATGTAAAACTGATGCTGAGTTTTGGATTAAGATTGCTTCGAGGAACCAATAATGCAATGAACATTGATGCTATCTATTCTTCACTTTGCTCATTGATGACGCTTCTAACTTTTCAGGATCTTATCACATGTAATGTTACCTGTTTGTTACACTAACTTTCAATGATTGTTCGGATTACATATGCTGTGAATAATTAGTTTGAGGAAAGAATACATGAGACGGTACCTCGCAGCTAAAACTAAGGCAGCTGGGGAGAATTTACCACGAGTTATTGACTGATGCATAAGAGTTCCAACAACTCTTCATGAAGAGTTTTTGGCACTGTTGTGTATCAGTGGAATCATAGATTATTACAGAACCTCATTCCTCAGCGTCTTGTATTGTTGGTGGGCAGGCTTTGGTTTTTATTGCTGTATTGCCTGTCTTACCAAGTGCGAATCCAGTATGTCAAAATGTTGCAAAAGGATCCCTTGGGTCTCATGTAAAAAATTTGTTCCGTCACTGCGCCTATCTTTAAAACTGAATTCAGTACATATTCCTGGATTTGCGTCATTTCTGAACACTCTCTGGGTCTTTCAACGCTATCTTGGATAACCAGTAATGGTTTCGCAGTAACGGTTCCAATTCCCTTTCCAGGACCCACACACGATCGAAAGATGGTCCCATGTTTCGTTTGCAAGAGCCACCACAATTTGGACCACATTTTTCTTAGTCTTGAAACTACAGTTGGTGTTTTGACAAATTCGAGAAGGGCATTTATAATGAGTGTGGTAACTCCTTTCATTGGGCCGATAATTGTGAACTCAGACAACTTTGCAATAAGGTTCGGCAGCGCAAGACTAGCTCAAGTTCCAGCGCACCTCAATGGCGTCACAATCTCTTCGCAAACTATGCAGAGCTTACTATCCAAGAGCAGCAAAAATCATCCTCTCCCTCCGAGGATGCATCCTTAGCCGAGGTATTAGAAATCTACGTAGAAAAAGTTACGATATTAAACACCATCAAGACTAGTGAATAGACTTGGGAACAAGCACATGTTCCCAGCAATAGGCAGCTATTAACAAACTTAGTGGATGACCTAGGTCTAGTGTAACAATGCCAAAGAAAAAAAAAATCCAATCAAAAAAAAAATCCAATCACCAGACAAGAAACTGCAAAATTGGGCGAAAATAAAGCATTGGATCAATATTATTATGTGCCTAGTATTATGTGCCAAAAAATCTTCTCTTCACTGGAAAATTAGCAATTTTTGGTCTCAAAACTGGTGGGTCCTATCAAAGGCAAATCTATGCCAAATTATCTTCTGAGGTAGCAGAAAAAGAGGAAACACTTTGTATAAACTCAATACCTCTATCTCTGGTTACACATCCATGCTACACAACAATCTACTAGTTAATATTCCAACTACCTCTCAAATGGAAACAACAAAATTTTGGCACAAAATGATAGTACACTAAAATTTTCAGTCCCCCTATAACATCTTTCATCATGGCATGATTATAGGAATGCCAACTTTACCTCTAATACATACAAACAAATTGCCAATCTTGCATTCAAAGGAAACATCACCATCATCCTGTACCTAAAGAAAGTCTTATTCCTACAACTTGATCTCTTGAGTTATTACACTCCAATCTTTGTAGTCCATTTCTAATTAAATCTCTCACTTGCTCTTGTTAACTTACAACCTTTATTGTTGCTTATTCAAGAGGATCTTGGTTATATTTTCTTTAAAAAAAAAAAACAAAACTTTTGACACCTTCAAAAGTTTTAGGATTATGATAGAAAGGCAAACATGTTACTTCAAGGTAGATCATAGAAGGAAATTATCTAGAAAGGAGGTTTGATCTCTCTTATTATCTTAGAGAGACAATTATCTATCATACTTCTTCATATGTCACTATCATTTATAGATCATCCACTCCAATCAAAATCTCACATATCTATAGTATATCACCATAGAAGATTTCAACATATATACCACAAAAGTATGTGAAATTATTAAAAAAATGATGACCTATCTATTAAACATGCTTTATAAAATGTGAACTAAGATATAGCTATGATACAAGAACTAATATCTATTGCTAAAAAAAATACTTGAAATCTATTATCTTTATCTTTAAATAAATATTTAATTATAGCTTATTAAATATTCAAGCTTAAATTTTATATAAATAGAAATCTTCTAGAAAAAAAGATGAACTTATTGCAAGAATATATGAACAAAAGTAGTCAACTATAACGTAATTTATATCTACATCATCAACTAAAGAAAAATCCATTTACCACTTAGACATAAAAATAGCTTTTTTTTATGGCCATCTTAAAGATAAAGTATATATAGAATAATTCCTATGATTTATATAATTAAAAAATATATCTTATTTTTGTATTAAAATACTATTTATACAACATGAGACAAAGTCCACGTATGTGGTATGATCATGTTAATACCTTCGTATAATCACTTGGAATGACCTGCAATACAAGTGATCACAACCTATACCATATTAGCTATGTAGATAATAAGGTTATATTGGTTTTCTATGTAAACAATATATTCTTGAAAAGAAGAAATTAAGATATTATATCCTATTTATAGCAATAATTAAAGAAAGAATTCTATTTTATTAATTTAGAATGCATCTCAAAATATTACGCATTAAATTCAAGATCCTAGCTTTTAATATTTTTCAATCACAACATCAATACTCCCTTGAAAAAATAAAAGAATTTGGCATGAATGATTCAAAAAGAAGTATATATTATTATCTCTAGGACTTATATTATTTACAAATATGAGATTATAATTAGTAGAACTTTACAAGTAATGCCGTGTAGTTGGCAAACTCACCTTATTTTACTACCACCGAGTTTGATATAGCTTATGCACTTAGCTATGTTTAAAGATTTAGGTCTAAACCTCAAAAACCTCATCTACAAGTACTTCAATACATCTTAAAATACATCAAAGTTATAATTAATTTTGGTCTATTTTACTACCAAAACATCTCATATGACATATATGCCTATACAAAAAAAAATTGGAATTCATGTTCAAACAAAAAAAGATCTATAAATTGATATTATTCTATGTTGTCTGAAGCAATTATCACTTGGCAAAGAAAAAGATAAAAGACCATTGCAAAATCTTCTATCAAGTCTAAATATATGAATTTATTTATAGAGATATAAGAAGTAGTATGGCTTATAAGATTATTTACTAAGATAGGTATATTATATATCTCATCTCTTTCATTGCCACTTAGCAACAATTGTAAAAATATTAGATTGGATATGCAAACTTAATACTCTCTATTCTTATATTATAACAATCAGTTAGCAATCAAATTAGCAAAAAATTATGTATTTCATACAAGTACAAAACACATAGATGTACAATATTATTTCATAAAAGAAATTTTAGCATATGGAGAAAATAATTTAAATTATATTCCTACGAATTTTTAATTTATAGATATCTTTACAAAAGTTCTTTCTTAAATGAAATTTTAGTAATATAGAGCAAAATTGAGACTCATCAATTTTTCTAATACTTTCTTCTAGCTAACTATTTTTTTATTTTTTAAGCTATAAGCATATTTCAAATTGTAATATATATATATATATATATATATATATATATATATCTAAGACTTTTGATTGACTCATTTAGATCTATTTTTTCTTATCTTGGCATTATTTTATTTTGTAAAGTTTGCTTAAAAATATATTAGGCACTTAACTATGGACAATAAAATAGAAATTACAACATGATGATTCTAACAATTATAATTCTAGACCAAATCTTAATCAAATCCTAAATCCTAGACCAAATCCTAATCAAATCTTAAATCTTAGACCAAACCTAATCAAATCTTAAATTTTAAATATATTCTTAAAAAATCCTATAGTAGATTAAAATCTTAAAAACTAATGATTGAATCACTGATATCAACTCAAAATTTTCATATTCTAAAAATTTAAATTAAAAATAAGTACAAGAATAATGAAATCAATTGTACTTATTAATTGAAAGAAATTTAAGATAATCCATTTGGATATTAGGTAATTTCTTTCTTATACTTTGATGCCAAGTTCCTAATACCAATATCTCCTTTTTAAACTATTGAATTTCTTTTATGATTCATAAAAAAATTAAAAATTAAGTCTACTATCTATAAAATGATTTTCAATTCAATTCAATTAGCAAATTGCTAAAGATCTTAGAAACTTTTATTAATCCTCAAACTTAAATTTCTAAGACTTCAATCTATTTTTTTATCTATCTTATTTGCCTTATTTATGGACATATAAAGTAAGTAGAATCTATTTTTATAAAAAATAATTCTAAGACTAAGATTTTACTATGTATTTAATTTTTATTTATATTTTTTTAGTATATCTTTTTAATTAGGCTCTTTTATAATAAAATAATTTATTTTTTCTTTTATCTAATAG